GACATCATGTGCCTCTGTAATTTTGGTTATGTGCCTAGAAATGTGCATCGTTCGTTTGATGAACCTTAGTGAGCCAAGTATTTTGCACACTATTTATATGCTTATCTTTACTTGTCTTTACTTTAAATCTGTTTACTTCTCAAACACTTCTAAAATTTAACAAAAAAGATGTGAAGCTCTAACTTACAAGTCAAAATGACTACAACAAACTCTCGAAATAAATTTATTATTTGACAAACTAGAACTGAAGATTATAACAGTTTTTCAAAGAATTAGCGAATTATTTCTATTAAAAAATATAAGTCCAATAACATCTCATTGCAGTCACCTTTCAAACAGAATCATTGATCGTTCTTTGGATGAGTTAGTCGAGCCCTTTCGAGCTATGCATCTGAACGAAGAAGAAACCGTACTTTTAAAAGCCATAATAGTCCTAAATCCCTGTTTGTTTTTCACTGCTTGTTAAATTTAATTCACTTTTCTGAATTATTTGTAACAGATTTACAAAGCTAAACTAAGGGAAAGCATATTTCCAGAATAGCTTTTAATTTGAATACGACTAGTTTTCAGAAAAAAGAATTTTCTCTGCCATAATTCTCTAATCAGACATAAATGACTTTCGAGAGAACAAAAATTTTATGATTTAAATACTAATGACTACTAGTTTTTTTAAGATACAAAAAAATCATTAACAAATAATTTAAAAAAACTTCAGTTCACTGTTCCCAATTTGCACCATTTGACCCATACTTTAGACCTCAAACACTTGTCAAAAGAAGCCTCTGAACAAATAGCAGAAATGCGCGATCGAATTCAAGAAACTCTTTATCATGTAGTACGAGAAACCCACCCTAAAGAAGCTGCTTCATCGCGATTTGGAAACTTACTTCTTTTCACGCCAACTATAATGGTTAGAGTGGATAAGATATATGGCTTATAACAAAATAAAACATTAACTTATTGGAAACAGACGTTTTTCCTGCTTGAATTTAGACTCTGGGAAACATAATGTACGAGAATCTACAGTTCGTGCAATCTTTTGGTAAGCAAAGCATTGATCCGCTGCTGTGCGAGCTACTTGATAACATCGAACCAGTTGAGGACGTCAGACTCCCATACTGCGACGACTTTAACGATTTGGCTATGCGGCCCTCCACTTCTTCGTCTTCGGTATCCTCATTGGCAAGTCAGGACAGTTTTTCGTCATACAGTCACAATGAAAGCAGCGGGGAGTTGACCAGCAACGGGTGAAAACTTCTTCAAAATCCCCAAACATTTGTGTAAACCTTGGTCATAAACGGATAATGATTTTGTTATTAGGACAACAAGCATTCTTTTGACCAAACCTCAGAGGGTTAAATAACAGTTACTGTCAATGAAAAAAATTCCAAGTTTAAAGTTTTCTGGATACTCAGATGAATCGATTTTCAGTTTTTTGCCGTCGCAACAGCAATCCCTCGCGCCAATAAATCCAGTAGAGTGTCCCGGCTTAAGCAATGCTTGTTCCTTACCAAATTTAGACCAGATGGAATCCGATCCGGATTACAACGTAACTCTTACCGCTGACATGTTCACAGGAATGAGGCAAGCAATGAGCGCCGCTCAAAACATGGACGTTGATAGGCATGACACTCCACCAAATTCGCCACAATTTGGTTACACGCCCGTTCCTACTCCCCGACCTCATTTCTTTCTGGGTTGGTAGTTATCTTTCTAGTGTAAGCTACTTTCAAAACTATCAAAAATCCAAAAATTAAATAACTCTGCGGTTTTAAAAAATTCACATATTTCACTAAAAAACATCCCTAAAAAACCTTTTCCAACTAGCTTTTAGAGGGTAACGTCGTTCGCACGACTACAACAGAGAAGTATGGTAACAGGCACAGGTTTACGGTGACTGCACGTAGACTTAGCGCAGATCAACCAAATCTTACGCCAACAAGAGCTGATTCAAGTGCATCATCTATTTCTAAAACGTCTTCAAATTCAACGACACCAATTCCAATTACTGTTGCAGGCCTACAGACAGCAAATGGTAAACAGTTTTCATTTACATAGATGTATAGTTCAATAAATATCAACGCTTAACTCTCAGACTCTTAATACGTTAAATCTTTCATCTTAGCGGAGAATCGCTGCCCTAAGATAATGATAACCGCGCTTCCCGTGCCCGCTTGGCAGCAAGTTGCAGAATAAGAACTCATTGGGCAACCGTCGTGAACCACCGCAACCCCAAACTATGATGAATTTTTTGCCGCAGAATTGTGGAATGATTCTGCATAAAGCCTCTGCGTTCTAACTTTGACGTCAAGATTTTCTATCATCTTAAAATGCTATTACTCGTCCCCAAAAAGAAACTTCCATATTCTTCTGGACCTTTTACGCAGCCCAAACGTAGCAAGTGCTAATGCTGTAAACCGAAAGCGGATAGAGATTTGACAACGCATCTCTTAATTTTATTCTATTGCCGCAGCACGATCCAGCATATCTTACTACCGGGCTTGTCATTAACGACTGCACAAAAACTTCGCTCACAAATGTCCAATAAACTGTCAAAAACTAAAAGATAAAAATCTAAAAGGGACAGAGCCGACTTCTACATGCTTCTGCTTAAAGACACACAAAGTTTGGAACAAAATACCTGATTTTTCAACATCTCAATAAAGAATAATTTTCTAAATTACGAGGACTCTAACCACAACGAAATTTACACGCAGTTCACCGCCAGTCTTCCCCACCATATTTAAGAAAAAATACCTCATTAAAGTGGACCCATTAGTTTGAAGAGATTGAGCGCAGAGTGAAACAAAACAGCATTTAAAAAAATTAAGGGAGGTTCGCATCCCAGTCAGGCATTACAAAATCAATGCTTAAAGTTAAAGAACTTAAGGAGAAGCATCCGTAAGAAGAAACAGAGCCAAAGTATTAAAAGTTCTGGTAGGGGCTACTTTACTATAAACGGCTGCAAAGACTAGGCATACACCAAGAATAAAAGACCACTAGTAATTATAGAAAAAGTTAATTCCCCTAGAAAGCAAAACATTATTTTTGAAGACTTGGTTCGTGCGTGACGGCCAGTAACGCCATGACAGAATATTAAAGTCTTTGATAGCTCAGCAAGCTTTCAAGCCAGAAGAGATAATAGAGAAACATGAAAGGCGGGAAGATTAATGAACAATATTACTTCTAGCACTGCTTAACGGTAATGAATCTCTTCCAATAAAACAGATATTTTCTGTTTCAGGATTTACAAGTGATCAGCGAGGGAAAAATATTCAAGATCCGAATTGTAGGAGCTATCCTGGAACTCAAATGCCAGTCATCAAGACCTTATCATACCCACAAACAATGGTGCCAATATCATATATGCAACCTTCAAGCCCCACAGTAAGGTTAACAAGTAAAGCAGAAACCGCAAAAGCTCAACTGCTAGGTGTGCCGGCTAACCCCAACAAGACCGACGTTCTTTCAAGAAATGTTGTCGGTGACGAACCTATGCAAAGCGAAGGACCTTTAATAGGATATGATACTATGGACTATTATTAAAGTCAAAATAATTCAAACAATCAACTGAAATGATCTTTATCTTCTTCTACAAATAATATACAAACTCTTAAACTAATGGCTTTTATTAAGCGAACTTCGAAATATTAATACAAGTCAGTCTGCCCAAGTTTTGAAAAAAATACTTCACCACACTGGAACCCGTAGATAAAACGTAGAAAAAGATAAAAAGATAGATAAAACGTAAAACAAATACTACATAAATATATGGAAGTATGCAATGGCCAGCAAATTATTTCTAGAGAAAAACAATGACTGACTAAGACCTGCTTAGTCAAAAATTGAAGTATCCATATCAAATCCACCCTCAAGCTGCTCAAACGAGTTCCGTGCTTCTGCTGCTGAGCTGCAACGCCAGAATCATATGCTCACAGAGAATTCGGAATAAAAGACTTTTAGTACCTATATGCTGCAGTTAAGGAATGAAGCAATTACCTATTAGCCTCTTGATTACCTTCATTTTCGCCTCTCTTTTTATTACCTCAAAAAATTGCAATTAGAAAAAAAAAATGACTTAAATTTTTTCTGAAGTGATTTCAATCAGCAAACATTAATGAAAACAATGGATGATAGAACCCTACTTAAAAGCATTAGAATGCAGTTCCTCAAAAAATTTCCTCACCGCTAACTGCAGGACAATTATTTTGAGATGTTTCACTTGCCAGATTCTTTGGCGAAACAATATCTTCATTCTCTAAGGCCCACATAATGTCCTCGTCGTCAGATTCAAAATGAAAGGCAGTAAAATCTGCAAGTTTAACTATTTATTAAATTACAAAAGACTTCCGACCTATACAGCATTTTCTGATAATAAGGTAAGAAAAATTTTTGAATTAACTGAAGACTTACAATCCCTATCTTTTTTACTTACGGCGCCAGAGCGAACTCCGGAAACGACAGGTTGCGATATTTTTGGTCTTGTTAGTTCCTTCTCAGCACCATCGTTACATTTAGCTAAAGATGCAAATTTATTTTTAACGTACTAGTTTCAAAAAAGTAACAGAGCCAAAGGTATCAGCTGTTTAAGAACTCCCCTTGTAAATTTTTGTTGTGCGCAGTAAAACAACTCCAAGAACCAGCTGTTCTCTGCAGGTAAAATAATTAAAAGATCATAAACTCATCTTTCAAAAAACTTTTTGAAAATTACTTTCTTTCGCTTTAGAAATGTCACTTGAAAAGTTCTTCGGGCCTCCAGCTTTAGGAATATTCAGCGTTGAAGTGGGCTAGAAAAGCTTTTTAAAAGTGAACCCAAAAGAGTAAGCTAGAAACCACACAGCACGATAGCAGTTCTAAGTTTAAGACCTTTCTAAAGCTTCTAAACTCAATTTATTGAAACCTTAAAAGTCAGTAATTTTGAAAAATTTTTCGTTTATGGTGTTTTTTTGCGGGTACCTATTGAAAGTTACTTAAATAAACCAATCCATTTGCAGTTTTCATTGCGACTTTGAGGAGAAAAAAGTTTTGAAAATACTATGCCTAATTAGCTTTTAATTCAATACGACGACTTTCTCAATTGTGATAAATTGGTACAAGCAGTTCTAAGACGTTAACATTTCTGACAAAGGGTTTCAGCTCGCTCAAAGTACAAGAACAAAACATCAAAAAATTCTATGATATACTATGCAATTGACAAAAACTTCACTTCTTGGTTTCGAAAGATTACCCTACAACCAGAAGAAAGATCAACACTCTACCTCATCTTGTTCAGCAACGCCACATCCCAAACCATCAATGGCATCCCAGTCTACTGCATCAAATAAATCGCGAGACATTTCATCCATCTCAATGATATAGGGCCCTTAACAGAACATCATTTTTATCTACAACGCATATATCAGGAATGCAAGGAGACTCATTTAATTATGATACTTCATCCTTCAAAAATAAAATTTTTGCCGAAAATATGGAACTTTTTTGCATTCATTTTGCTTTCGCTTCCTTCTGTAAAAATCAACCAACATTTCAAGCTTACTGTAAGTACCACGCAGGAAACGATAAATTTATGAGTGCTATTGAACCCCATTAATGCCCATAAGCACCAAACAGAACAAACTCAAGAAAAGTGGGTTTGTAATTGATGGAAACAAGTATCAAGCACGTTATAATTTCTTTTTGCCGTTTGACAAAACTTAGCTTATAAAGATATTTAGGTCACTCTAATATAACGAGTAGAAATTTGAAAGCAAAAGTTTCTTAAGAAAGTCTCCGAAAAGCTCAAGATCGGCCAACTTGTTTTCTGTTCAAGACAAACATCATTTTCTTCTTTACATCTGCTTGTATCTGCTACAAAGACCTGTTGGTGTGCGTCCAGTACTTTTTTTACAGTGGGTGCCTCTAGAAAGAGCATTAAATTTAAGAATTAAGGATGCAATAGCCAGTAGTCAACTTTGAATAGTACCAGAGCTTTGAAGTAATCAAAAAACTGATACTGTTAGCAAATTAAAAAGTGATTATTGAAATAAGTTTTTCATACGAATGACAAAATCATAGTCTTGAAAAAACACTTACCTGAAGTGCTAGAAGTTTCTTCCGCTCCCCATAACTGTTCTCGACACAGATTATCTTCATTTTTTTCTTTCGGTGAAAAATCCTTTTGCCTTTTAGCCCCCGGAGCACATGTGTAATAATCCAACATTGTTGATGAACACTTTTGTCCTGGCACGTATCTAAAATTGAAGATCAAACAAACTGCAGCTAAAACTGTTTCTTTAACAATCCAATGTTAGCAAAGCATTTAAGAAGACCATTCAAAATCCAAATAGCACAGCAGATGCACTAACTTAGAGTTAGATTTCCTAACAGTACTCATTTTAAAGGTATCTGCTTCCGGAGACATATTTCCAGCAAGTGATCGTCTGCTTCTTCGCTGGCGAGAAGAACCACAGGAACTTCTACTTCTATTTCCATTTTTGGGTCTCGGTTGCTCAACTTCATCTACCGAAAATTGTTTTGAGCGCCTAGACGAAGACTCTACGTTCAAACTATTTATGAAAGAAACCTGAAAAAAAAAGGAGCGCCGTCCTATGCATTTTGAATTCCTTATTTAAACACTTTTGAAAAGGATGATTAAAGCTACGCATCTGCAAAAAGAATTTAAAACCATGCCAGACTTTCGTTACGTCGGAACAGCAGCATTACGTCGCTCATATTGACAATTGCTCTCTTACCATGTCTAAAGAGTGATTTTAGATACAACACTAACGAATAAACTGGTATGAAATGTCTTCAACACTAACTACTAAATTTAAGAGGTATTCAGACGATGAGTTTGGTTCATTTACTTAGCGAAAGCACTTAGTTCACTCGGCCAGGTATCGCACAGGGCATCCATAACCAGACGAGCAGTTTGAGCAATCACACTTCCATCAAATTCCAATCGGCCCTCACTGTTGCTACTCATCTCATTAGCTACATCTTCAGACATTTGCATGCAAGCATAATAAATCGCAGAAAAAAGTTTCTGAAATGCAAAAACTCATTTACCGTGACCCTATCTTGCAAAATCTGGAACAGCAGCTATCTGAGGATAAGCGTCTCTAATAGATTTTTGATTATTTTCAAATTTTGAGAAAGGATGATAAATTAAAAAGAAACAACTTTGTTTTTTTTCAGTTTATACAATGTGAGTTACAAAGGAACACCATCTAATAAGACTACTAATACTCACGAAATTTTTCCAGCG